GAGTGCTATTTGATCAGTGTCTTTATTATAATAATCAAACAACCTAATCAAACAACCTAATCAGACAAATAATCAATTCAGAGTGTATGTCCAGGAGACTCATAAGAAGCATTAACTTCTTCTAAGTAACTTAAACCATTTTTTTAAATCAGTCTGGATTTGATCTACATTATACTTCATGCTCTCTGGTAAATAAGACCCAGTTGCTGGAGCAACTTTTTTATATTAGAAGCTGTTTCCCAGTGTTTAATTTCTAAAGGTCATAAACGTAGTTTCCATTTTAATTCTGTAATGTTGACACTACAAAGGGTTGGGTTTTTTTTTTTGTGGGGGGCAGGAAAGGGTAAAGAAATTATGTGAATCATTTATCTATAGGACAAACACTTCAAGAGGCTCAGTAGTTGTATAGGCTCAGTCAATAATACTTTCCTACCACCACACTCTCTATCAGAACAATAACTGTAGTTAATAATTTAGATAAAACAAGAAGGCATCCTCTGAAGATAGTATTGGAAAATTAGCTTTTTTAAAGCACCACACACAGTGCTGCTTTGGTACTAGTCTTTCATTCCCTGGCTTTGATTGACACATCAGACTGTCCACTGAAATTAAAAGTATCTCAGTGGCAGGAGACTCTACCAACCCTAAAAACCACTAAATAACATTAGTATGTTAGATTTAGATTTACCATGAGTAAATAACATTAGTATTTTCCCGTGATGTCCATTATTTTTTTCATTCCTGCTCAAACTCTTTTTAGAATTACTTCAGTGTGAGATCTGTTTGCAAATAAACTCAATTGGTATTGATCACACGCACAAAGCTTATTTAGGGTTGAGCATAAAGGTATTCAGAGTATTAGTTTGGTTTCTGTGTACTGAAAAGAAGGAAGCAGCAATAAAATACACATGAACATAGATGATGATAAGTCCCTGTACACAATTTAGAGAATGGCCCACCTGGACATACAAATTATTTTGATTCATGTACACTTTGATAAACTTGAAAAAACAACAGGAAAGATAGAAAAAGAAGTATACTTTCCAAACCTTATAGGCTGGAGTGATAGTGACAGAGAAGGCCCCTTAGATTTTGGCTATATCCCTCACCACTCATATTTTTCTCTCCCAGAACTTTCATTGATCCTCAAGTTTTTATGATTTATTTTGTGTCTCCTCTTCACACTTCCATTTTCAATCAAAAAAAAAATCAAGAATCAAGAGAGCATATGCAAGAGAGAGGTATTCATGTCTCTCTGGACTAGAGTTCTGGCATGGACAGCTACAGACATTACATCTTTAAAGATTTTCACAGATTCTCTTGGCTTTTCAGTCAGGCTTCAGTAGCAGTTCATCAGGTGTTTTGAAGATGTAAATTTAATGTTTAAGCAGTTCCTAATAAAAAATAATTAGCCCTGTATACCAGGGTATATATAATAAATTACCTATGATATATAAAATAGATTACCTAAAAAGATAGAATTATTAGAATGCAATGGGAATGTGCAAAACCATGCAACTGCTCTCACATAGCAAAATAGGAAGTTACCTGCTCACCAGAAGAGACACAGAGGCTCATGCATTTTGTACACTGAAGAGGTTCAAAGCTCCACAATCCAGGCAAGGAACAACAGAAAGAAGAAGGACAAAAACCTCCTCACTTTGATAAACTCATTTCCATTTAACTAATATCTTACGTAAACCCATATTTTTAGTTCAGGGGTTCTCAAATGATCTTTTCTGACATATTTAATTTTTCCAATGGAAGAACACAACCATGGGCAGCAAATATAAACCTACTGATAGTAGATGTGCTTTTTAAATTACTTTTTGTGGGTTCCTCAGAAGGTAGCCACAAACCTCAGGTTGAAAGCCAGTAATTTACTTCTTCTGACCTTGAAAAGACCTCTTTGTGCCACAAGTTTTATATGGCCTTCAAAAACCTAATTTACTTTTAAAAAACACTACATATAGAGTAAGTTGAAAAATATCCCTGTGCATTTACTGGTAAGCAGGTTTTATTTCCTTTTTACCAATGCTAGCAGTTCACTGGATTGTATCACAGTGATTGTTCCAAGTCTACACACCAACTTGCAGAAAAAACATCCAAAAAATAGCCAAAGCCCCTAATAGAAACCCCAATATTATACTAAGAAAAAGAAGTCAGCAAAAGTCCCACCTGAACAAATAACACAAATCCAAAGAACTACTGAAGGGATAAAAGGCCTGTATTCATTTGCCAAGTGGTGAAATATAATAAAAAAAAGTGAAATTAGGTACTTAAAACTCCTAAATAGTCAGAATTGTTGTAGACCAAAGTTATTTTTCAATCTAAATACCATTGGGGTAGATGTGTTTTTCTTTCATCCTCTGGAAACAAAAGTCACGCTATGTCAGCATACAGACTGTTAAATAAATCAAGAAGGTTAGTTAAATGCATGTTAAAACATTAAAGAGAAAAAGAACATTCCATAACATATTTAGTCTTCCTGAAAGTTACTGGGGAAAACAAACAAAACAAACCAGCAACCCCCCCCCCCAAAATCTAATTTACAGGAAAAAGAAAAAAAAAAGGAAATTAGAAGATCTGATGAATTTATGAAGTCAGTCACATTGTAAAAGACAATATGAAAAAACAAAAGCAAACACTTAATTAAAGAGGGAGACTTCAGAAACAAAATGTGAAAAAATGGTAGTTGTCCTTGTATAAGTCTCCCTCAGTAAAACATACAAGGGTGAAGAGAAAGATTATCATGCAAAGAAAAGAGCTGCAGAATTAATATGTAATCTCACTCAAGGGTAATTTTTAAGTTAAACATAGTTGCCACACTGTCTTACCAAGAATTCAAGAAATCTTCTAGAAGAGACATATATTACTTCTGGAACACAAGTTGGAACTAGATTTTAAACCTAGAGAACTGCAATCTTGTCAAATGTAAAGGAAAAATAAATCAGTCAAAGCAGAATTTACTGGCATTACATCTGATATTAGGTTGCCCTCTTCAACCATAGAATTATAGAACATCCTGAGTTGGAAGCAACCTACATGGGTCATCAAAGTCCAACTCTTGGCCCTGCACAGGACAACTCAAAACTGAACCATTAATTGGAAGGATTCATGTCCTTTCTTGAAAAAATGCCTCAGTATTTGTAAACCATGGAGAGTGAAACTATAGAAGTATGAGGCAACCTATCAATACTAAGTGTTTGTTCAAGTGCAATGGTATCAGACATGAACCCACGTCTGAGTGAATTCTCATCACAGCCTATTCTTAGTATGGATTTTCCCATTCAATGAGAAATATGGACAGATGATGGGCAAGTCTGTCAAACTTCTTTTGAAACAGTTAAAACTGCCATACCTGGACCATAAGATCCCTTTCCTCCTTTCCTCCCACAGCTCAAAATATAAAAGATAACCAAAATGCTGCCTCTGCTCACTTCCCCTATAGATCTTAGAATGATAATAAGGTGCTAAAAATTTTTGAAGAACACACACATGGGAAAAGCAAAGTTCAAGTCATTGCAGAATATGCAGAATTCAGATCTCTGTTGCCTTCTGAAAGGTGTCTGTCCTTCACGGAAGGTGAAAGACTTCTCCAAAGCCTTGGCTTTGGAACTTCTTTCCACAGACCATACTCATGCAACTGATCTGTGAAATGTGGTGCTTTATTTGAAAGCGGATTCTGTATCTTCTTACCTGGCTACAACTCATGACTCAGAAGTAAACAGCAGCTCAGAGCCACAGGACTGGAGCAGTATTAGATTAACTGACATAACATAATCAGACCAGAGGACAAGCCAAGAATTTCTATACACCCAGAAATGCCTAAAAGTCACATAATATGCATATATTTCCCAAATAAAACTGGACAGGCTTGATTGACGTTGCTGTGTGGCTGTAGTGACTCTGCAGTACAACAAGCAAGCTGCTTATCAGATGGCTCTCTTGTAGCCATAACCCTCTCCTTTTTCCTAGAAAACCAATTTATGCAGAATGGAAATGGGAAACTAAAAAATTAGAATTGCAGCACTCAGATGCTGCATTGGTACAATTTATCTTGCTTCACAAAACCTGTGGGGACATAATGTGTCTCAATATAAGAAGAAAAGAAGAAAAGGGGAGGGGGAGGGAAGAACAAAGGAAAAACACTGAAGGTCTGACTCTGACCTGTATTATTTACAAAAAGAATCAAATTCTACAGTATTTTAGGAAAGAATTACTCATTTGGGAATGTAACAACTTTTTTTGCTAAGAACTGGAAGGGCAAGGAAAGAATAAAACAAGTAACTCCCAAAAGTGATTCTACTAGAAGATACAAACAAAATAAACTATGGTTTTTTCTGTGTATCTGAATTTCTTTGGTATTGAACAGCATGTGTATCTCAAAGATTTCCTGTTTGGCTTCAGACATACACTATAATATGATAAGGGCAGTTCTCTTTTCTGGTTTTCAGAAGAAACAAATTTGTACTCTGAGGTAGGGTATCAACAAAATCATAATGCATTACCGTAGCAATTGGAAGTGTATCAACATAATAATCCATACAGTGATAACTGAAGTCACAGTTAAGTATTTAATCTTGCAAACCAATCGGAGAACATAGCAAGTGATAGAAAGACTGAGGTCAATATGATGAGAAAATGATTCCCCGGTCCTCCTGTGTAAATTAGAGCAATTTGCTTTACCTTTCACACTGAAGTCATGGAAACAGGAAATGCAGCACATTTCCTTACGTTATAAGGAATTCCAAACTTTTGGACCACTGCTATTTCAATGTAGGCCCCCAAATGGAAGTAGCCAGAGGAAGAAACAGTCCTCTGCTTTACATCAAGACATTTATAAATTCCTCCTCGCCTTGAGGGAAGCACTTAGTTCTCCTAAAGCTCAGATGATCACATCATTAATTCTATTAATTCCTAACAAGTATTTCTGGACCAGTAAGTGCTAACTAGGAAGTGCACATCCCAAAATCCTTACCACAGACAGAAATGAGAAATTCAGTTTTACCTGTTAATAGACAAACATTAATCCAATAGAAAAATATATAGTCAAACACAGAAGAAAAAAGCAAACAGCTGCTTCATTCCCTACAAAATAACTTTAGTGAAATTAGGCTGTAGAAACTTGGGTCAAAGCACTGCACTGCAGGTGAGTCACAATTCAGTTGATCAAAATCTTTTGTGTTCTCTTCTCCTTTACAATCATTTGAGGAAGGACTCTGCTTAATTAACTAATTTACACTTTTTATGATCTTTTTCCAATAGAAATAATTTCAGACTTCTTCTGTCTACAGTTCCAGTTTTATGGCCTTAGGAAATTTAATTCAGCCATTTTAGACAAGCCACTGTCCTGTCACTGTGTAATAATCATAACATTTAGATCATGACAGAAAGAATTCAGTGTAGTTTTACAAGATGCTTTATGTAACATCGCAGTGAAAGGCTGTAAAAGTCTGCTTACCAGAAACCAGTGTACTTCAGTTCACAGTCTCCACAATTACAACTGTGCTTTGCCATGCGAGGCTGAAATCACCTCTCCTTTGCAGACTCCAGATACATTTGCCCCTTTTTTTCCTGTTTTGTATACCTTATCAGGACAAAACCATGCCACTGCTCCACTTCAAATCCTCAGTGTGGATTTGTATTTTAAATTCTCCTTCCTCTCCCCTCACACCAAAAATAAAAAGCCTGGTTACAGGTATCATTGTAGGCTACATATCCCAAATAGCACCCCATTTCTCTTCAAGCCAGATACTATTGTCCAGCAAATTTGCTTTCCTGACACTTAATAAAATGTCACAGACTTTATACTTACCTGAAATTGTACAGTCTCAGCACTTCTCTTGTCCTGAGATAATTTTAGTTGTGATAACAACTGCCTTGAAGTCAGGTAACAATTGCTTAGCTTGTTTAACTTCATTCTATGGGTATAATATATGCAAAGGTCTGACAAACATAGTCACTGCTTAACAAACAGGCTATGTGTTAAATGGGGCCAGGAGAGGCTGACTATGAACTTTGACTAATTGTTTCTGGGTAAAAACAGTAAAACTTTACTTGGGAATCAGAAAAAAGAACAAGTAAGCAGACTTTTCTGTTTTATAAAAGTGCTATAACCACGATAGAAAAGGAAAATGCCAGTGCAGTGACAGCACCCCACTGCAAACCAGTATCGGCAAAAGGACTGGGAGAACTCACTTCACTTAGAAGGAAAAGCTACACAGCAATACTATGAGTTTCTGAGATCTCATCAGACAGTACAGAAAAGTAGAAGGCAAAAGAAGTCTGATTGAAAACCTTCCGTCTCATTTCCTGTCATAAATTAAATAAGGTTCAATCAGATTTAGCCAAGCTAGCTAGAACAGTTAGCTTTGGAATCATAGACAGCCTTCAAACATTCAAGAAAGCAACTCCCATCCATACCTTTATCCAAAGTTTGAGCACACAGAAATGTTGACATTCCACTGACAAGTAAACGACTTCTGAAACCCCTTCCTAAAGCAGAGGGCCATCTGCAAAGGCTTGTACCAATACGAGTTCAGTAAGAGCACACTTCTACAGTTTGTTTTCACATAACAAGTGAGATAAAAATTCAGTAATATAATCAGGGGCTGCACTTGTGTTAGTGAATAAACAACTTATTATATTTGCTTCTTTTGTCATACTCAGCTTCTAAAGGTACACATTCAAGGCTGAGGTGTGAACAACTGTATCACCATCAGATTCTACCTGGATCAGTTTTGTGTATGCAGCATTATGCCTACTTGCCATACATAATGAAGTCATTTGGGAACCACAGCTCATTTGAGAAGCCACTTGCACACCACTTCCAACACCAACACCAAATGCTACATAGAGTCAGAAAGAACAAATATATTAAGTTCAATCTGAGCATTTTAATTTACACAGATATTCCCCTTAACAATAGTGATCTGTGGTTTTTATCCCATTTTCCATATTAAAGCTTTCCACTTCTATAAAACTTTCTCATAATTTTTAGTAGCTACATGTCATGTTTTGGCTGGGATAGAGTTAATTTTCTTCCTAGTAGCTGGTAGAATGCTGTGTTTAGGATTTAAGATGAAAATAATGTTGGTAACACTGGTGTTTTAGTTGATGACAGGCAGTGCCTGCCCCAAGCCAAGGACTTTTCAGTCTCCCATGCTCTGGCAAGAAGAAGGCATTCAAGAAGCCGTGAGAGTGCATGGCCAGAATAGCCAACCCAAACTGGCCAAAGGGATATTCTATGTCATCGTGTCTGGTATAGAAACTGGGGGGAGTGGCAAGGAGGGGATAATAACTGCTCTGGGATGGGCTGGGTATCAGTCAGTGAGGAGTGAATAATGGTATTGTGCATCACTCATCTTTCTTGGGTTTTACTCCTCTCATTTTTTGTCTTTCTTTTCATTACAATTTTTATTATTATTAAATTTATTTCAATTATTAAACTATTCTTACCTCAACCCACAGGTATAACCTTTTTCCCAATTTTCCTTCCCAAGACATGAGGGGAGGGGGAGGACTGGAGTGAACACATGTGTGGTACTTCATTGCCAGATGGAGTTAAAGCAGGACACTACATTAAGCCATTTAACTACATCTTTCAGTAACCTTTGTTTGCTTTCAGATAATCAGTGCATTTCAGATTTTTAAGTGAATACATATATCTCCATATGCTGGGGCTCTATCCACATTAATCTCATCTTCAACAGGTAAAATCATAGCTAAAAATTTCAGTATAAAAAACAAATTAGTTGTTTAAGATTCTGTCTCTGGTGTAATTTCCAAGCTTTTTGTTTCACACCTTCTGTAATGTTTCAAATCATAGGCCCACACAGTGTCTATTCCCTCTCCAGTAGTATGATCTGGAATCCAGCAGGGGAACGGAAAGCGACAGGCAATGATTCTGGCATTACATTCAAGTTCTTCTTCCAGCTTCTTCTCCAACTGTGGCATCTGTTAAGTAATAATAAAAAGCTTTCAGATGCAGTAAAAAAACCCAGAAGCATTCTCTTAGAATCTAATTCAAGTGTTCAAGAGAAGTCCAAGGTTTAAGGATTTTTTTTTAAACTCTTAGGAAAGTATTCATGATATATATTTTGGCTTTGATGCCTTGACAAAGAATATCTAAAACTAGAAAATGGCTATTGTGCCCGATTGGTGACATCAAGGAAATTGTTTACGTTAAGTTCTAAAAATTAAATCAAAAATTTATCCCTTATATTAAAAAAAAAAAGGCAAAGAAAAGACTTTGCATGTTCCAATTCATGATTCCCTTTCCCTTCAGTGGGATTCTTCTCTGTAGAGAATGAAAGTTCAGCCCCCTGAATTTATGCTTTTTCTGACACCTCTATGTTCATGAGCTATTGTGTGGTACTCAAAAGTCACCAGTGCTCATAATTTAAAGTCTAACCCCAAGACAGACCCTGGGACACTCAAAACATCACACAGACAACAACTAAAAGCAAACATTCTGCTGTCACTGTATTGTGAAGTGCTGGTATGTGAAATACTATTGAAATTGAGCTTTGATGACTCCACAGCCTGTTAACACATGCATGTAAGTCCCTGCAGCTGCACTGCATGAAATAGAATGCAGAATCATAGAATGGCTTGGATTGGAAGGGACCTTTAAAGGTCATCTAGTTCGACCCCCCTGCCACAGGCTGGGACATCTTCAACTAGATCAGATTGCTCTGAGACTCATTCAGCATGACTGCATATTTACAGTGATGGAGCATCTACCATCTCTCTAAGCAACCTGTTCCAGTGTTCCACCATCACAAAAATTTTCATACTTACATGTACTCTGAATCCACCCTCTTTTAGTTTAAAACCATTAACTCTTTTTTTGCTACTACAGGTGCTACTACAAAGTCTGTCCCCGTCTCTTCTATAAGTCTCCTTTAAGTATTGAAAGGCCACAACAAGGTCTCCCCAGAGTCAAGTCTTCTCCAGTATGAACAAGCCCAACTCTCTCAACTTGTCTTTATAGGAGAGGGGCTCCAGCCCTCGATGCTACACCCTCTCATAATGCTTATAGCATTCCTCTGAACCTGCTCCAACAGATCCATAAGTGTCTTGTGCTGAGGACCCCAGAGCTGGATGCATCACTCCAGGTGGGGTCTCACCAGAGCAGAGTAGAGGGGCAGAATCCCCTCCCTCGACCTGCTGGCCACTCTGCTTTGGATGCAGCCCAGAATACAACTGGCTTTCTGGGCTGCAAGTGCACATGGCTGGCTCATGCCCATCTTTTCATCCACCAACACCCCCAAGTCCTTCTCAGCAGGGCTGCTCTCAGTCTGTTCATCCCTCAGCATGTACTGATAGCAGGGTTGCCCTGACCCAGGTGCAGCACCTTGCACTTGGTCTTGTTGAACTGCATGATGTTCCCATGGGCCCACCTCTTGTCCAGGTCTCTGTGGATGGCCTTCCATTCTTCAGGCATGTCAACTGCACAACTCAGCTTGGTGTCACCTGCAAATTTTTCTGAGGGCACACTCAGTCCCACTGTTTATGTCATTAATGAAGTTATTAAGCAGGACTGACAGATGGCTGAGGAACAGCACTTGTGATCAGTCTCCATTTGGATATTGAGCCACTGACCATTATCCCCTGGATACAACCATCCAGTCAATTCCTTATCCATTGAATAGTCCATCCACCAAACCCACCTCTCTCCAATCTAGAGAGCAGGATGTTGTTTGGGACCATGTCACATACCAGTAAGCAACTCTCCTTGGTTGAACACCTATGGTCTAGCCTTCCTCCTTTCACAAAAACTGAGAGGACGTGAAAGTCAAGGGAAATACCACTACTCTGCTAGAACAGAGCAACACCCTGACTGGTCAGATACTCTCCTTGCAAATTTTGCTATGAATTAAGTGAGAAATGAATTAACACACCTAGACTTCAAAGAAATTTTTCTCATCATAGATAGTGATCATGTTCTGGATGAAAAAAAAAAAAAAGAAACTTAACAGATTTAGCCATTTTTGTCCTTCAGAAAAGTTTGATGGCATTGATACGCTTAAGCACATCAGCAGTGTCACACCTATTTGGTGTTGCTTTTATTCTTACATTCTGTATGTATCTGAATGAGTAATTGCAACAGCAAACTCCACAGGCTACTTCTATTATGTGTAAAACTCCATTTACTTTGATATAATGATGCAACATTTACATACTAAAAGGTTAAAAGGATAGTAATTATTTACAAATGTAGCTCACCTTAAGACATGATGACACAAAATATATAAAAATTCCACAGAAATGAAAAAACAAAACCCCAAACCAAACAAACAAAACCCAAACAAACAAACAACAAAAAAATAGCCAACCAAAACTCAACAGAACATTATTAGAAAACAAGAATGATTGAAGGAAATGTATTTCCAAAGGGTGCAGGTAACTTCCACTGTCACATACATGAGGGTGTACCTTTGATGTAATATCCTGTTATATCTGCATTTAAGCTTACAAAAGAATATTTTAGGAAAATTATAGTTATAGACCCAATACATCAAAGAGTTGCCTCCAAATATTTTTAAGCATTCTATGCTCTGATTTCATCCATACTGAAAGTGCTTTTTAACGTTTTTGCTACAGCACCTTGAACAAACTAGAAAAATAAGCCCACTGTGGTTCCTAAAACTGAGCTGAGACAGTAGCAAAAAAAGGTCTAATTTGTTACAGAAATGACAAAGACATGGTCTAACTTTTAATGACTAATTGTGAAAATTAGTGAAACTGCATGTCTATGTTACCTTAAACTAGAAAACATCATTAATAGCTCAAATAAGAAGAATTGCATCCGTGAACCACTCAAAATAGTTTTTAAGTTAAACCTATCAGTTACTTTAGATGTCAAATCATACTGTATTTTATGTACAATATGTCAAGCAAAGGCTGGGATTTTTTTGGTATGTCTACAGAGATACATAGTTTAGTAAACCTTTTGAACAGTATACAATCAGTTAAAAACACAAAAGCTGCGAGCATAAACACCTGATAAGAATTCCATCATTCAACTCTGAATAAGTAAAGGTCTCTCCATCTCTCTGCAATGACTCAGAAGCAAATGCATCTTCCCCCAGATGCTTGCAAGAACAAGAGAGCTCTTAGTCTTCCCTGCAGATCAATAAATCCAAGTTTTGTAAGCTAATCTTGGATATGAAGTAAAAGCACTGTGTGGCAGCATCAAATCAGACCAGCATTATTAAAAAAGCTAAAGAGACCTATTGTCCTGGTTCCTATGCTTGCATCTGTTGCATTTATGACAGTACTTCTACTGAAAGAATTTAGCCTAGTATTTACTGGATTTACAAAAGTTTTTCTGAGCCCTATAGTTACTCTTTCTATCACAGCTGTTTCTAATTTATACCACTTTATTACATTTAAAGTTAAGTCAGTATTTCTTCTGGGATTACCCACATTTTCCCAGGGCATTTGTTAATTTCTAGTTTACCAAAGCTGCTTTCTTCACCCGCACTTTTCCCCCGCGGTGCCGTGGCAGAATTCCTGACTGCAAATCCAAACGTTTGTACTGCCCCCTGCTGGACCTCAAGTAGGAGAGCACTAAAGAAATCTATGCAACTCGATTTCTACACCAGTTTTGAGGAATGCATTTTCCTTAAGGACACATCGAACATAGGCTACAGAGCTACCTGACGTATTTGTGTACCTTCCTATTTCAATATATCAGCTGCTGGCCTACTTGAGGTGATCTGGGTTTTGGAGAACGTAAACAAAATTCAACACTCTCCTCTATCAAGGCTCCCAAAAATGAGTTTTAGTGAATTTCCTACTCCATCTTCTCGCTGCAAACTCCTTTTTTCAGAATGAAAAACTGAAATTTCCAAGAACCAATTTATCGGCTTCCCTCCGAGCACCTTGAGCAGTTTTCATTTGATTCCAAATGGACAGAAAATTCTTCTCAAAAACAGGTGTATTTTCAGAACTCCAATCTGCATACTGTCACAAGTTTTACCAGGCTTTATCATGGACATTATGAAGCAATGATGAAATATCAAAATATTATTATTTGGGACTGAGTGACAACACCAAACTGTGTGCTACAGTTGACATGCTGGAGGGAAGGGATGCCATCCAGAGGGACCCTGAGAGATGGGCTGATGCAAACCTCATGAAATTCAACAAAGCAAAGTGCAAGGTCCTACACCCGGGTCACAGAAAACCCAGACACACCTACTGGGCAGAGAAGTGATTGAGAACAGCCCAGCAGAGAAAGACTTGGGGGTGATGGTTGATGAAAAACTCAACATGAACTGGCAGTGTGCACTCCCAGCCCAGAAAGCCAAACTAAATCCTGGGCTGCATCAAAAGCAGCATGGCCAGAAGGTTGAAGGATATGATTCTACCTCTCTACTCTGCTCAGGTGAGATCCCATCTGGAGTACTGTGTACAGTTCTGGTGCTCTTAACATAAGGACATGGAACTGTTGGAGCAGGTCCAGAGGAGGGCCTGGATAGCTGATAAGCTGATAAGAGGACTGAAGCACCTCCCCTACAAAGACAGGCTGACAAAGTTGGGGCTGTCCAGCTTGGAGAAGAGAAGGTTGCATAGAGACCTCATAGCAACCTTCCAGTGTCTGAAGAGGGGCTACAGGAAAGCTGGAGAGGGACTCTTAGTCAGGAACTGAAGTGATAGGACAAGGAGGAATGAGTGCAAATTGAGAGAGGGGAAATTTAGGTTAGACATTAGGAGGAAATTCTTTCCTGTGAGAGTGATGAGCCCTTGGAACAGGTTGCCCAGAGAGGCTAGTGGTGCCCTGTTCAAGGCCAGGTTGGATGAAACCTTGAGCAATGTGGTCTAGTGGCAGGTATCCCTGCCATCCACGCCCAGGACGGGACTAGATGATCTTTAAGGTCCCTTCCAACCCCTTAACATTCTATCATTTTGTGATTGATACTGACTACCTTTGACCTGCTGCAGGTTAGTTCATTTTCTAGATAAATGTACTATTACTGAATGCCTTGGTATTAAAATAGTTAAACAGTGCAAAAATAGTAAACTTACCATCTGAGGTACGCCAAAAACAACAATGTTTTTATAATGGGAAAATGAAACCTAAAATAAAAATTCAGAACAAATCTTAGTGAAAATAGCATTTATATTTGGAGAAGTTCTTGCCATTCTTTTCTCCCAGTCCCTCTAGCTGCACTTCTTTCAGCAGGCATTTAGACCAAAAATATGAAAGGAGATCCCATATCAACTTTTCATCACACAAATTTCCACATAAAGAAAACTTTATATTCTGAACAGCAAAAATTCTACCATCTGGCCAAGAATATGGCACCAATTCTAGTAGAACAGGAAGCATAAATTTAGAAAATACCTATGTGATTTTATTTATATCTAAGTTTGGAGCATTGTCATAGCTTCTCTAAATGCTAAAATCATGTATAGTTTAAGTTTTGTTAAATGTTAGGTAGTTATAAAAACATACCAGGTGTTCTAATGCCTGGGTACTTCCAGTCAGAGCCATGGAGTTTTCCTATGCTACTCTCTGGAGAAAAAAAAAAAAAAAAAAAAATCCCAAACCCACAAAAAAGGTCCCACGTAATTCATCAGGCACAGGGCTGCTCAAGTAGCCTTTACTGATAAAGGGCAGCACTTCAACAAAGCTCAGAACCAACAGAGCAGCATATTAAGCCCGTAGAAACTTGAGTCCCAGCATAAGTACTTTGCTCAAAGCCCAATATAGCACCTTGTTGCCAGTCAGCATTACAGTTCCTTCAGGAACGTATTTCCAAACTATGAAAATCTCTCAATCATCCCAGATTCCTTCTTACATACTTCATTACCTACCTTCCATAAGTCTGAAATATAAAATTTGGTATTCTGATGTACTCCATCTCTCCAGGCTCGGTATCTGGAGTACCAAACTAGCCAGGGATTTAATTCATAACCAACAGCTTTGAATCCCTTTTTTGCAGCTGCTATCACCTACAAAAAAGAAAACAAATCTTCACTGAGAAACATAAAAACAGGAGCATCATCTAAACAGGAGCACAGAGTTTTATTTAAAATATAAATCAAAAGAAAGCACTTGTGTAAGTCACTCAGGTTTAAATGCCCAATGGTATAATGTAGTATAGTGAACAAAAACTCAAAACTACATTTTACTATTATGGCTAATCCAATTGAAATAAGTATATTCAGACAAATAAAATTAATCCATAAACATTCACAGGGCAAAATTGTAAACTTCTAGTACATCTATGACTCAAGTAAAAGTTTAATTGAACACATTCACAACACTATCTTGGAATTAAAGAGTACCAGAATTGACCATGGAGAGAACAGTGAAACACACAAGGAAAAATGCTCAAAATTAGGTCACTTATTTGAAAAGCAGTGAGGGGTAGGCACGTGAGCAACCCCTGGATCAAAGCCAAAACCAATAGCAAGAGTCTGAAAGTGATCTGTTGTCTATATTTAAAAAAAAAAAAATACAAAAAGACACAGTTTATAGAATAAAGGTTTAATACATAATTTAAAAGGTTATTGACAAGTTTGAATCAGGAAACGTTTGATGAACTATGAATTTTTATTCTTGTAATCCATTAGTCATTTCTCATTCTCCTTTTCTGTTCTGTCACCTTTATACATTAAGCTTGAACTGCAGCTCCAAAAGCACAGTGCTATTTAATCTCACAGCCTCACTTGCTGCAGCAATACACCTATGTGGAATCACAGCACCAGTTTTGTTGGTGGCATCTGTTCATGTGAACACGTACAACTCCCTCCAATCTCCACGACGAGGCTATCATTTTGTATGCTGCCTTGGTCAAGCTGCAAGACTGGAGCAAAAAGTATTTATTACTCACCCAAACTTAATGTAAATTTTTCTCAACTTTGATCCTTTGCATAAGACTCAAACAAAACCACTAGATGCCAAAGACAAGACGTTCATAAGTATGAGAAAACAACAGGCACAGCTACAGCATTTGGTACTTTTTTGAGACATGGTATGAAAGGAAGGCAATGTAAATAACTTACAACGCGGCCATCCCCGCTACCAATGTCAACTAGGGGGCCGCTTCTATTTTCCAGCATTTTCAGCACGTTCTGGATCTGAGCGGCAGTTGCAGGAACAAAGGGCAGGCACACCTTCCTCAGGGCCGGGGTCACGAAGGGGGTGACCACGGCATAGAGGGCCACCAAGGTGCCGCCGAGCCCAGCCGTGACCAGCAGCCCCCAGCTGCTCCTCCTGGAGCCGCCCTCGCCCTCCTGCTCCGGGCTCTCCTTCGATACCGCCTCGGACATCGCACCTGGGGGCCGACAGAGAGCATTTTCACCAACAGCTTTATTAAATGATCACTTGCGATAAAGCAGTGTGTTCCATCAAAGAGAGAGGACATTCGAAACAAAGCGAAACAAAACAAACAAAAAACCCTAACTAAACAACCCCGTCCCCTCCCCTCCCCCCGTTATATTCCTTTAGCCGGTTCCCAGACCCTAGGGGGACACGCTACAATTGCCGAGAAGCCGAGGCACGAGGTTACATTGTTTCGGGGCAGGAGAGCAGTTTCCAGATAAGCCTGCAGACCACCTCCCCGCCACATCCCCACCCGGCAGCGCCCCGGAACAGCTCAAGGGCGGCGCAGGCAGGGACCTCCTGGCCAGGGACGGCTCGGGAGCCCGCACCTAGAGAAACGTCCCGGAGGAGTTCCTTTTATTACTCCCAAGAGAAACTTTTTTCCAGGGGACGGCGACATTCACTAATGCCCGCCCGGACACCAAGACCACGAACAAACACAACCCACAGTCACCCTGGTCCAGCGGCACTTATAGGGAAGGGCAGTACCACTTCGCTATACAGGGGTGGGGGGACGTACACCTTTCTGAAGGTGCTCCGGAGAGGAGCGCCGCGCACACTTTTACTGCCGTGTGTCTGTCTCACTCTGCCGCACTCACGCCACCCCGCGCGGCCCGCTGTCGCCGCGCTCGGCGCCCGTATCCCACCGCCATGGAGAAGATCCTCTCTGTCCCCACCCCCGCGAGCTGGGGAATGCCGCCTCCCCCCCGCGCCAGACCCTTCCAGAAGGGTCCGCCGGGGGCGCCACAAACGTTCCGCCCGCGAAATATGTCCCGCCGGGGCCGGCTGCGCAGGCGCGGAGGCGTGTACGGCGTCACGGCGGGCGCGGCGGCTTCCGGTGGGAGCGCGCGAGCGGCGGCAGCGGCAGCGGCAGGAGCGGGAGCCATGTCGGCCATGGGCACTCTGGCGTTTGACGAGTATGGGCGCCCCTTCCTCATCCTCAAGGACCAGGAGCGCAAGACGCGCCTGATGGGGCTCGAGGCGCTCAAGGTGAGCGAGGCGGGGCGGCCGCCGGGGCCGCTGGTCCGCCCGTGGGCCCGCGCTGGGTGGGCCGCGCCGCGCCGCGCCATGCCGTGCTGTGCTGTGCTGTGCTGCTGCTGCTGCGAGGGGCGGGAGGACGGGGGCCCTGGGGACAAGGCCGAGCCGTGCTCTCCGCCAGCCCCACCCGAGGCGCAGGGCGGATGGAGCCCGGTGTAGGCCCGCAAGCGTGGGAGGGATGGAGGGAGAAAGAGGACATCGCCCCCGGGGCTGGGAATGCGCGGCACGGCGCCCGTGGGATCTCCATGCGGGAATGCGCCCCGGAGCCACGGCGTTTTGGGGCCGTCACCCCGCAGGTGCAGGCGCCCCTCCCTGCGGCCCCTCCCTGGGACCGCCGCCCCCAGCCCGGAGTGGCCGCTGCGGGAAGGCCGGGGCTGAGCGAGTCGGCACCGTGCGGGCGATACAAATAGCGAGAGGAGAGCGAAGCACTGGCACAGGTTGCTCAGGGAGGTTGCGGGTGCCACATCCCTGGCAGCGCCCAAGGCCAAGTTGGATGGGACTCTGAAGAACCTGGTCTAGTGGAAGGTGTCCCTGCCCCTACAAGGGCTTGGAACTGGTTGATCTTCAAGGTCCTTTCCAACCCAGACCGTTCTGTGGTGATTCTGTGATGAGTAAAATTGCACTGACTTCTCCTTGTAGCGTTGCCTGCTCCTGTTGCTGCCCTCCTTTAAACCTGGGTGCTGTCGCTTCGGCTGCTCTGCCTTTGCATGCTTTAGCAGAGCCAGCACAAGAAAAGCCACAGGAAATGTTTCTAGCATAAAGACAATACACATATCTTGACTTCTTTTTTTCACTCATAATCAGTTGCTGTCAGCTGAATCGCAGCACTTGCATTACTGTATTCTTCCTAGCTTATTGTTATGATTTCAGAATGCATGGTAATGATTTACCTTCTTTCTCCTTTGTTTTTTTTTAGTCTCACATAGTGGCAGCAAAGGCTGTAGCAAGTACTCTGAGAACATCCCTGGGCCCCAATGGTAATAATGAAACACTTCTACTGGTTCTCTCTTAGTAATTGTTTTGAGGGATTTTCTAGGTTTTCCTTCATGCTTTGAACGTGTATTTTTAGGCTTGGATAAAATGATGGTGGACAAGGATGGTGAGGTGACTGTGACAAATGATGGTGCTACCATCCTGAATTTGATGGATGTGGATCACCAGATAGCCAAACTTATGGTGGAGCTGGCTAAGTCTCAAGATGATGAAATTGGGGATGGAACTACTGGAGTCGTTGGTAAGAAAGTATTTCAAATTTAACTAAGATCTTCCAGCTTTAAAATCAAGCTTCTTCAGCTGTTTGAGAAATTTTGTGTGAAGTAACAGTAGCTTTTCTTTAGCAGTGCTTTAGAGTATTGCTGCAGCGTGCTTGTAGGTTCTTGTATTAGAAGCCCTTAAATCAGAAAGACACTTCTGTGTCGTTTCTAAGTATTTTAAGGTAATGCTGAGAACTCTCTTTGTACTTTAAACATTTTTCTGTACGATTTTCTTTCATAATCTTCTACCTGTCCTGCCTTGGTGCCTGTGCTTCATTTTGGTCTTAACATAATACTGTTTTCTTTCTAAGCACAGCAAGTAGGCGGTTGTTTAGAGTTATTTTGTTATTTAGGAAATGTTGAATTTCTGTAATATTACAGAAAAAATGAGAAAGCATGCTTTTTGATCTGTTGATAATGTTTTTAAAATGATGCTCCAATCAAGAGTAAAATTTACCTTTTTTTTTTTTTTTTTCAGTTCTGGCTGGAGCACTGTTGGAACAGGCTGAGCAATTACTAGATCGAGGTATTCACCCCATCAGAATAGCAGATGGTTATGAGCAGGCAGCCCGCATTGCTATTGAGCATCTAGACAAAATCAGTGACAGCTTTCCAGTTGATCCACAGAACATTGAGCCTCTGATCCAGACGGCAAAGACAACTCTCGGCTCTAAAGTGTAAGTCACAAAAACTTCAGAATATTTAAGCTTCCCTTGAAGACTCTTTGAGTGGAAAGGAGAAATCCTGGAGTTTTGATGAATTATTAAATTGTTTGCATTGTTGAAGTGCTGCTGAAGGCCCTTTTATGTTTCATTTTGGCTAATTTCTCAATGAACTCATGCTGTGAATCCTTTGTCTCTAAATAGTCAATTCCATGAAGTTAAACAGCATAGAATCAGCTTCATTCTAACGTGTTAGTTCCAGATTTCTGCATCACAGCAAATTCCAAGAGTAATGTAAATCTTGTAAAAATAATTACATGTAATGTTTCAGAAGTTTCATTTGTTGTGGGGTTTTTTCCTCTAAAAAAATTTTACCTTAGGATAGTTCCATAAGTTTCTTTTCCTTTATGGATTCTGTGTGTAGTTTAGACATTGGATGGGCTTCCTTTGCTGGGCTGTCTTAACAGTGGTTTCTGTCACTTGAGTGTTTATTGATAGTTGCTGCTCCTCATTGTATCAAGACTGTCCACAAAGGCTGTTTACTCCAACCCTGTTGTGTGTTGTGTTTTCTGCCATATCCAGCACCTTTTATGTCTGTGAACAAGCAGACAGGACCCTCTCTTTTAATGTAGAGTGCAAAAGTTTCTAGCTATAGTGATACTTCCTGCTGTTTGAGATTTGATAGAATCACTTTGTTGAAGAAATGTAATGCAGCTTAATTGTTTTTTGGTTGTTTTTTTTTTTAAACATAGAGTTAACCGTTGTCACAGACAAATGGCAGAAATTGCCGTGAATGCTGTACTGACAGTAGCAGACATGGAACGTAAAGATGTTGATTTTGAGCTGATCAAGGTACAAGGCAAAGTGGGAGGTAGACTGGAAGATACACAGTTGGTTAAAGGAGTGATTGTGGATAAAGATTTCAGTCATCCACAGATGCCTAAAGTAAGTGATGTCCCTGTGTGTGTGTCTGTCACATGTAATGGCTTAAATAAGATTGTCTTCACATGCTGTCCTGGCATTTGTTTAATATTTAAACAATCTTGTGATTTGGCTTGGCTTTTCACCCATGTATCAACAGAGGAAGGGGAGAGGAGCATGAAATTCTTCATATTGGAAGTTTAGAATTTACAGTAATATTGAGAGATTACGGCAAGAGGAGGAATTGCTGTCCTACTAAGTGAGGACAAGGGCAGAGAGTTCTGTGTTAAAGCAGAAATAATCATCCATAGTGTGTGATAGGCTTAATATGCTTAATGAAAGTTAGTATCAAGAAGTGCTTCTTAACCTTTGAGATTCCATGTTGTGCTATTTGGAACACCCCAGAAACTGTCCTTGTATTATATTTAGTGTAGATAAGGTCTCCCAAGTCTTTGGGCAATGTACTGCAAGAAAAATGGAGGCAGTTGAAAATTTTTACTGTTTTTAACTATTTTTCTAGCTGGTGACACTGTTTATTCTGTAAAAAGGAAACTAGTGAAAAATATCAGTCATGTAGTACTTGAAATGTTGCTATAAAAATTATTAGTATTCTCAATGGTCACTTTGGATAGGGCAAATAACAGTTTCATTGAATTTTTTGTGTTTTTTAAACATTAAACTATGAAAAGACATCACTGTTAAAGATTGTTAAGAGCTTAAACAGCATCTAGAAGCTGTGGAATTTATTCTAAGAGGGTTACAGAGATTCTTGACAGAATTATTTAGTTACAGTTAGTTCCACTTGAGAATAAGTTAGATGGTCTTCACATTTCCTCCTATGCCCATGTTTGTAAAGATATGTCTGTAAGTTTTGCAGATACAAGAAAGAGGTGCTAACGAGGTAAAAACTCAACTTTTTGGGTTTTTTTGAATTGCACAGGAGCTAAAAGATGTTAAAATTGCAATCCTTACTTGTCCATTCGAACCACCTAAGCCTAAAACCAAACATAAGCTTGATGTCACATCTGTGGATGACTACAAGGCACTGCAGAAATACGAAAAAGAGAAGTTTGAAGAGATGGTGAAGCAGGTAGTCTTCAGGATTGTTTCTGTTTTCTTTGTCTTTCATAGCCTTTACACAAAATAGCATAATGCATTGATTTATTCCTGGAAATGAGGTAATACTCCTTATAGGAGGCAACATACAAGCAATTGTAGTGCTATGAATAAAAGCTAAGTTTATGTATACCACATTAGTTTAAAATATATTTTTATCTCTACGCATGCCAGAGGGTTCTTCTTCAGATTTCTATTTTGAGAAAATTATGAGAATTAAAACCATGAAGAGATTGTTTAAGACTGATGATTTATGTTGCTTTCAGATAAAAGACACTGGTGCAAACCTTGCTATTTGCCAGTGGGGTTTTGATGATGAGGCAAATCACCTGCTGCTCCAGAATGAGCTGCCTGCTGTTCGTTGGGTTGGTGGACCTGAAATAGAAGTAAGTAAAATTGGGCTTTGTACTAGTTGTCAAACATTTGTTAAATGATAGGCTGTATTAGCTAAAAGTTCAAACTTTCTGGGTAGAACTGCGTAATTGTGCACATGGGTGGGTATTGGAGGAAAAGCATTGGTGATCTATGGAGGAACATACAACAAATGGGATTATGGTTTATAATTGGAGTGTACATATATGACTTTAGATGTCTAGGAACTCTTGCAGTTTGCAGAAACAAAGCATCGCATGAAATACTTTCAAGTGATGGGAAGATAAGCTTTTGGAGTAGGCATTTGACTTCTTAACTGATGGT